AAGCCAAGCCTACACAGACTACTAAATGATGTTCTAGAGAGGGAGCAAAATGATCACAGCCCCATGAATGAGAATGGAATGAACCCACCAAATAGGGCAAACAATTAAACACAGGAGAATAAGAAATAAACAATAGTAGTCTTTCAATTGTTCTTTTGTATACAGCACAAAAATATTTCCATCAGCATACTCTACAAATGGACTTCTCCTGCACCCTATGGGTCATGATTCTGTCCAGGTCTACAGGGTGAATATCAAGGAAATAGCAGTAGCTCAGTCCCACAAGTGACACCTGGCTACCAGTAAGTGTCATGGACACTGTCCACGTCCACCACATACTAGAACTTTGTGCAATATCCCATCCCCAAACTGTTAGAAGTGCTGGTCATATATTTGCCATTCCAGTATTTCTGTTACATTTTCTTCTTAGTAATTCTTTACTATTATGAAAACTTTTTCTTGGTTGATATTTTTGCATATTTTAACCCAATCAAATATTATGTGAGTACTCTGAATTGATCATAGATTCATACATATGATATACTACATTCTGGACTCTTAATTGCACTCACAATTTAATTTTAATTTTTGAATATTATTTTGAAATATTTAACTTTGAATTAATTAATATTTAATTTTCTGAATATTGTTTTAATTTTAATTTTTGTTTTATGACTTATACTGCTTCTTTGACTTACAATCAACTTATAAGACATGCAATGATTTTTTTTTTGGCAGAACCGGGGATTAAACTCAGGCCCTCGCACTTGCCAGGGAAGCGCTTATTCCACTGAGCCATCTCCCCAGCCCTGATACTTTCTCATACTATTAGAAACTTTAAAAAGTATTTTGCCATTTTCCATAGACTTTGTATTACTTTTCCTTTGTCTTTTACACACACACACACACACACACACACACACACACACATATATGAAAAAATATGTACATTACCTGATATAAGATTGATACTATTTTGTGGAAGTCTTCAAATGGAACTTTTAAATGGATTCATCTAATATAATTATATTTTACTTAGTTCTGCATAACTACTATTTTGAGAGCTCTTTATTCTTTATCCAGGACCATACAGCAACTTTTCTTGCCTTCTGGATTATGGTCTTTGTTATTTTCTATATGCTACAGCTGGAGATATTAGAATATATTGTTTGTATAACTGGAAAATATTTTAGTTTTAGTTTTCAAAGGTATGTTTGCTAAGTATAAAATTCAAAGAGGATAGATTTTTTTTTTTCCCATTCAGTCCTTTAATTAGTCTAGTTTCCTACACACTTGGTCCTTTATTTTCTTTCTAATGTGGAATAAGATGCTATTTAATTTTATTCCTCCATAGCTAATGTTTTTTATGTATATGCTTTAATGGTTTTTTTCTTCACAATAAGTTTTGGACAATTTCATTTTTGTGTATCTTGGTATGATTTTATTTAAATCTTGTGCAAAAAGGTTCATTTTTCTTTGAAATATGATATTATTATAAGTTGAACTAAATTCAGAAATTTTAAATCTTTAAATATTTATTGCCTACTCCTTTCTACTTTGAGAATTCCAATTATACGAATATAAGTTTCTTGGTTTTGACACAGTGAACTATTATGATTGATCTGTAAATTCTTCATTTTTATTTTGAACAATTTTTATTGTTATATTCATTTATGTTTGTAAATAATTTATTTTCAATTTGCAATCTATTAAAAAATTAAAATAAAA